GAGAGAGAGAGAGACAAAGACAAGACCAGCCAGAGGCTCAGAGAGAGAATTAAACAAAGACGAAAGGGAGACTACAGCTAAGAAGAAAGAGGATTTGAAGTGACTGCATGTAAGCAACCTAGAGAAGGTTAAAATACCTTGGTAAGCCATGCATCATAGGGATTTCTCAAATTTTGTTTTTTTTATAATAAGCTATAAATCTTCTTATCTTTGGGCAACAAGGTTATAAAACCAATGGATGTAAGTAACTGGCAAATCATTGACTGAGAATGTACTGCACAAGTAAAAACCCACAAAAGGAAATTGTATTCTTAACTTTGGCGTTTATATATTTTGCTTCCAAGCGTAAAATTTGATTTAAAGTCTATTCAAAATTTAATTTCTCTAAACACTCACATATTCAATTATTCAGCAACTATTTAATGTGAGAAAGATAGTCTGCAACCTAAATTTCAGATGGTGAACCTTTGCTTTAAAAGAGTGGTTGCCCAAATAGGCAAACCATAATCTAATTTAACTACCATAAGGACAATTCAACTTCAATTGGATGAAAGACAAAACCAGAAAGATCTTGGAAGGGAGAGCATGGCAGCATGCACATACTCATCAATGGCCAACTTTCATTTCTTAAATAAAAAACTAGTACAAGTTTCAAGACTATTAAGAGTTCTAACCTACTACCACTAACAATGAAATTTTTCCGTTTCTTGGAAAATGCAACAGCTCCAACAGCTCCCATATGTCCAGTGGCCAGCCCAATGCAACATCTGTTTTCTTCTTCCCAAACTCTTATCTGAGCAATAGAAACAAAACTCAGCCATCAAAGACAAACTAAAATCCACTTGATGATTTCAAGAGAAGTCACAATAATAAGTAATAGTCTGTCATGCTCGACGATTTCAACAATTATCACCATAAATAATAGACTGTCATGCTTATGATGATTAAAAAGGCTAAAGATTAAGACACTCACACTGTTATCTTTGCTCCCAGAAACTAGAAGTGTCTTTCCGGAACTTGAAACACAAGTGTCAAGGCATAGTACAGGCTCTGTATGACCCGACAAGACATAGGAACATGCCATGGACTGTAAATCGTATACTCGCACCTGGAAAAAGAATGATAATATCGTTCAGAGTTTTTTAAGTTCAAGAACCATCTACACCTTCTAAACTTCAAACACCTAGATGTGTAACAGCATGATACTCTTCCTGTGACTAGAAAAACAATTTTCAAAGGAATATGCAGAAAACAGAAGAAAATTTACAAGAAAAATGAACCAGATAATAGAAGCAAAATAAGAATCAGAAAAGTCCAAAAGAATGTCAACATCAAGAAAGTCATAGTCATAAAAAAATCGAGACCAGATATAAACAACAATCGTACCTGCTCTAGATTTGTGGCCACTGCAAGATATTGTTCATCCACACCCATGAATTTTAGATCAACAATTTCTTCATTATATCCTATAAGTCGCTTAGTTAGGTTTAAGTGGAACTTCATCTCTTCTGAATGTGTAGGAGAATAGAAAAGAAACTGCTGATCAGCAGTCACACAAAGCAATCCTTGATTTGAAGGCAATATGACAGCTGAAGTGAAGCCCAGTTTTGGTTCTTCCTCACTAGAGCTAATGACAGCATCAGATGCTTGCTGCTCATATAAACATATGCCACTGTAGAAAACACAAAGAAAAGCATAAGCTCTATATATCTCCATTTAGAAAAAACCACAACAAAAAAAGGAGAAATAAACACAACAAAAAAAGGAGAAATAAACACAACAAAAACAACCAGAGGACAATCAGCCATGCATTATGGTGTTGAAGCACCTTTTTTTTTTGGGAGAGGGGGCAGGGGCTGAAAGGAGGAGGGAACCGCGATGGTAGTACAGCAAAGCTTTACTTCCTTAGGGATGTTGCGGAAAATTCTCAGGAACTAAGAATTACAAATGATAGATAACGAGTTTCAGGATACACCCTCCTTGGCCATACAACCAGCCCCCTCAGTGTTGAAGTTCATTACTCTTAAAAACAATTAACAGAATGTTGGCAGTGAAGTTGAGATTACATATGGACCTTACCCTTCAGAGCTCCATATTCGCAAAATGCCACGCTCACCAGCTGTGAGAAAGAAGATGGGAGTTGAACCAGTTCCCTTTTTCTTCATGATTGAGAGTTGGCTTTGATCCAAAGCAGCAGCCAAAGCAGTTCCAGGATTTATGACGCAGACTGCTTCCAGCACCTCATAACTTGGCACCGTCATCCTGAAGCTATAGTTGGGCAGATTCCATAAATTCACAACCTGATATAGTTCTTGCTGTCAGATTCCTTTCTTAAAAAAATTCCATGCAAAGAAGGAGATCCTTTACATACACCCAACACTCCCTTTAAACTGTAAATACAAGGTACCGTCCCAATATGAAATGAGATGCTGTCATAACAGAGAGAAATCCATACCTTGTCTCTTCCAGCACTAAGCAAGGTTGATCCATTTTCAGATATCCCCAAAGAAGTAACAGAAGAAAAATGCTTCTCAAGCACTGCAATGCACTTTTTAGAGTCAAGATTCCACACTCGAACGGTCGCATCATCACTTCCGGAGAAAAGCTAAAACATGGAAGCCTTATAGTCAGTCCCACAAATTCAATATGGAAGCAAATAGGGTAGAAAATAGATTATGAAGTCATCATGAACTATTGATTTAACATAAAGATGTCAATTTCCTTGTGTACTAAGTTAGTAGGTCCATGAATAATGCTTGTCATCATGATATGATTATAGATAATTTGTACCATTATTTTTCTATCACTTTACGTGCAACATGAAACAGTAACAAAATTGTCATCCAACAATAAAATGAATTACTATCAACCACAATCTATCCCCATGTGATCAAAAGATATATCCCTATTCAGCATGATATTCTTCTAGAACTTAGATGATCAAATGTTATTCCAAAAGATAACGATGTTCCTAACCAGTTTCAAAATAATGACATTAGAGAGGCAAATGATATTCAATTATCATAAGATGCGTATTTAGTAACATTAAAAACAAGGTGCATTCAGAGGAGTATCAAAAGAAAGTACCCCATAACTTACATTTCAAAGTAATGTGAATCCCTTCTTTTCCGTAAGTTAGGACAAACAATTTCTTCCAAACCATTTTTCAGTAAGAAGCTTAATCAATGTTACTATTCAGTAAAGAACAATGCAAATGCGAGTATATAGCTTTAGCCATAAAAACGTACAACCCGAGGACTGTTGAGTCCGTAACAGATAATATCAGAGTTTCAAGTCATCCAACTGCCTCACAAAAAGATACCACTCAAGGTAAATTCCTCTTCAGAGGTGGCTCTTCCACTCCCTTTTGCGGCAATACCCATACATTGCCCCTCAAAATCCAATCCTCTGTGCATAGATAGCCACTGCAACTCCCTTTTAGTTCTCCAGTATGTCAGCGTCGAATTCTGACCATGGATGTAGGGTTGCAATTGCCAACTCCTAATCAATCAAGTCAAAGCCCAAATCCCGTAACCACTCCAAATCCCACTCCCACAACCTCCTCTAAAGAAAGCTACTCCATGCAATGTCTCACCAAAAACTACATCTCCCTTGAATAATTATGACGGCTACTTTTCCCATATGTGCCATGCACAAGGACAGTTAATATACATTTATTTCAATTGAGAGACAAACAAATAGAAAACATCAATTTTCACCCAACTTAAGTAACCCGACTCAAGCCAGTTTTGGGGATGGCCAAATTAACTATGCCATCCCCACTGTTAGGTGATGGTGACTTCATTTTTCTTAGCTATAAAAATTGGAAGAGTCACCAACTTCCTCATTGGCTTCTGACTTGACTCGCCAACTCAAGTCATATTCCAAAAGTCCAACTGTCGACCTGACTTTGACCTTCTGAGCAGCCCAATCACTTGACACTCTTACCATACTGACAAGCCATTCACATTTTCTTTTCCCCAGTCATTAGGAAATGTCAAGTAATAATTTAAAGAATAGTTAATATAAACATGACAAGATGCGACTGTCATCACATTTAAATCTCAATGCCCTAAACTATCCCGAGTCACATTGGAACATCCCCATTGATTTACCAAATTAGAGTTACCACAATAGCTTCTCATGAGCGTAAAGAAATGCCACACAAAAAAAAAGAAAACAAAAGAACATAACATTCCCCTGCTATCCAAAAGCATAGCACATGGGCATGGCATGGCTCCTTCCTCTTTTTTTTTTGGGTGAGTTAGTGGGGAGAGGGCCCTATCCTTGGTAGGAATTGAGCCTAGGACGTAGCGTTCCAAATCGTCAAGTGCTAGCCAATTGAGCCGGGGCCCTTTTCCTATGTGGCTCCTTCCTCAAGATCCACTTTGATGGAAATGAGTCCTTGATACTCCCCTACACACTCAGAGATTGAACAAAAAAAACACTAGAAGCTTCCAAATTCCATGCTATTCTGCATGTCCCTCACCTCCTCATAATATTGATCTCTCTAATTAGGCCCAATGGGTTTTAAATTAAGATTTAAAACAAACTAAATAAGGACATTAACTGGCAATTTTCTGTCAACAGATTTATTTGTTAAATAAATATTAGTATGTTACATTCAAAGAAACATTCTCACATCTATTTAAGAAGCAGAGAGAGAAATTCAATGTCAACTCATATCTTCAGTTTTAAGATCTATCTACTGATTTGCTCAACCAGATCCAACAGATTTGGTGACTAAGCAATCACAATCTCGACCCAATCACCATAAACTTTTTCTTTCTCTCGTCATCACATCCCTTCCCCCCTTCCCCGCCCCTATCCCACCCAGAACATCATAATATTCATGCATTGGATGCCATGAGGTACATATAAAAGATAACTTGCACACACATAAATATGCAAAGAACAACGTTTCCTAAAACAATAAGACAATAGAGTTTTTTTTTTTAACCTATTTTGATTTGTAACATGCAGATAGTTTATTGCTTCATCAAGAATGTTAACTTACTATGAGGTTTTGAGGATCTGGATGGAAGACAACTGTGGTAACAATTCCCTTGTGTCCTTGAAAAAAGTGGGTGCAATAGCCTCCACTGATATCCCAAACTAGAACTTTCCTATCTGAACCAGCAGTAGCAAGCAATCCACCTGATGAATCACACACCATGCCCATAACTGGACCATCATGACCCTGCCCAAAAAAGCCAAATTCTTTCAAATTCGATTAAGACCTTAATATAGCTTTGCTCCATAAAACATAATATAGGCCATGAAAAATACAATTGGCTGATAACCATATGCTTCATTTCATATATGAAGCAAATATTCAATGATATCATGAACAAAAATATGTAAAGAATACAAAATGAAGAAAATAGCTCATCAAACGGATTCTTCAATTGAACCTGCAAGATGAACATACGTATTCTAGAACAACGAAAGAAACGAAAATTAAGATCCAGAAAAGAAAATTTCACATGTAATGCGGTTTGAGAAGAGAATTTGTGAGACTGAACACTAAAACGTCAGAAAATGGCCAATTTTAAAATATAGTAGTGGTTCGAATTCAAAAAATAAATAACAACTACAAAAAAATCATTAAAAAGCAAAAAAATGCTGAACACTCACAAAAAAATTGGCAAAAAATGCAATATAAAGGAAACTGAACCAAGAGAAACTGAAATAGAAAATGGATTACCTTCCATGAACGCTGGCAAGTGAAAGATGATAAATCCCAAACCCTGATTTGCCTACTGTGACTCGCCGAATAGAGGTGCTTATCATCCGGGCTTAGGGTTAGCGCAGTGACGAGCTCTGTGTCTCCTTCAAGAGTGGATAAAATAGATGAATCAGAAGTGTTAACGATCTGTATTTGATCATTGTAAGCGCAGGCCATGAACGAGCCATCTGATGAAACTGCAAAAGGACCCCCAGTATAGAACTGTTGAAAGGCAGGGGTACAGCGAAAATTCTTTTTAATGAGTGTAGAAGCCATTGTAGAGAGATAGACTCGTAAACCCTAAACCCTGCGTAAAAGTGTAGAGAGATAGACTCGTAAACCCTAAACCCTGCGTAAAAGTGTAGAGAGAGAATATAAGTACAAGGGCTTCAAGCCATCAAAAGAGGGAGCGGCTAAAACCATCTGCGGAAACCCTGCTGGCTTCATTGGTAGGCTCGGAATTGAGCAGTTCGGAGTTCCAACTGACGACCAACTTGGAATTAATTGTGGATGCGGCTTGTCTAGAGCTGAGGCTCTAAACAATCGAAGTAAAGCGCAGCATAGTGTCCGAAGATGTGGTTTCAATACTGGAAATCTTTATTATAGACTTTAAATATATTTTTTTAATTAATTATAAAATTTACAGCTTCAAGAATAGCGTTGGTCAAGCGGAACTATGAAAATCTTGATAATTGATGGTAAAAAAATACGTTACAAGATGCATTATTTCTAAACTTGAAATCCTTTTTTTTGCTCATATATCTTGATGTCGAGAAGATCAATTTCAGGATATTTGGGTATCAAAACAACCTCTTCTAGTGAAATTTTTGAGGTGGGCTCTAATTTGATTGAAAAGGAAAAAGTTTATATCGAGCTGAGGCTCTAAACAATCAAATTAGAGTCCACCTCAAAATTTTCACTAAAAGAGGTTGTTTTGATGCCCGAATATCTTGAAATTGATCATCTCGATATCAAGATGCATGGACATGAGAAAAAATGGATTTCAAGTTTTGGAAGTTGTGTATTTTGCAACACATTTTTGGACTGTCAATTTTCAAGCTTTCATAGATCTGTCAATCTACACTATTTTTTAAGCTTTTAAACTTTATAAATAAAGATGAATTATTTTAAGGCTATCACAAAGAATTCCAATATTGAAACCACATTTCTTGACCCTAGTTGAAGGTAGGCTCTAATTCAATTGTTTAAAGCCTAGGCTCTGTACAAACCGCACCCTTCTAAATAAGATACAACTTAAAATACAAATATGGCATTTGCTAGTAAACTATTAAAATACATTATTTTATTTCCCAAGTCATTTCTTTCATAAACTTAGGATCAGATCTCAACTGTATTAAGAAAGAAGTCATTCCTCCTAGATACTTTGAGAAAAGTCATCAAAGATCTATTACAAATTTTAATAAAATGAATATTAAATATAAGATATCAAATGCTCATTTATGCAATGAAGTCCTATGTATTAAGACTATATTTGTATTAGTAAAAACTTTTCAATAAGACAATAAAGGATGGAATTCATAATGAATATATATACAAGGGAAAATAGGTGTGACTTTTATAGGCAAATAGATAAGAAAAAGTAGGTTTAAATGGGCTTGAACATATGCAACGTGAACCTAATACAACACTGGTTAGGAAGTATAATTTAATTCAATTGGAAGGCTCTAAAAGGGCAAAGGAAATGCCCAAAAAGATATGGAGTAGTAAGAAAAGATATTGTAACTTTTGGTCTTAGGGGCCAATGTCTAATGTTGCTATATTAGACGTTGGCTCATTTATCAAATCTTTCACCTTGAAGGTTTTTGTTGTTCTGACCTTGGAGCACCACACGTGCCAAGTGCAATTTAGTGGTCCTTTCCAGTATGCAATCATTTTTTCTTGATCATTTCTACGGTACTTCAACACAAAACTACGATATCGCATAATTAACTAAGTGATTGTGTAAACTCCACAACATTATTGAAATCATATCCGACGATTAGGTCGACTCGTGGACGTGTTGATTTGCACGAGCTCTCTAAGGGTGCCATGTCTTCATCATGTTCTATCTATGGCTCGTCCTTGGATTCAATTTCCTACTCTATAACTACATTACTCCTTCTAGGGACGTTTACTTGTATAGTAGGGCAGCTGTAAGAAATCATTTTAAGCATTTAGTACATCGATCCACAAGTAGGTCAATAAATGTCAAGGAAACAAATATAGTTTTAATATAATCCAGTATTAGCAGCAATGTATAATTTCACAAAATTTACTTATAATTCGAATTCATTCAATAAGTACTAAGACCCTTGCAATAATATGATGCATAATTGAAGGCTTTTATCACAAAACATATCTCTTGCTGATGGAGTAGAGGTATGTTCAAGAGGCTGATGATCCCCTGGATTTGGTTGCGATGTTTGATTTTTACATTGGAAGCCACCATCAACTTACACATTACGTCCCTATCATATATTAATCAATTAAATCCCATTGGCTGGTCCTTTCTTGATACATAATTTTCAAACTACTTGGGTCAGAGCTCAATATAGTATGGGCCTTTAGTTGTTGTAGTGAGTAACCTCTTTATATAGTGTGGCTTTTACATTCCCCCCTTGATAATAGGTTCGTCTATCACTCTGGTTACACTCAAAATAGCTACCATGGTGGAGTAACAATCTCACTCCACCAATGGCCATGAATCAATCTGGTGAGGAGTAAAACATCAACAAAGTCAACATGATTAGTAAAGATTTCTTACTTCATGTCAAGTATTCATTCAGAAAAATAACAACAATAAACAATCAACATGTTCAATGCCATGTACAAGAGATTACTTATTGCAATCTATAGATTATCAATTAGTCATCAACCCATACAATTATTCCGGTATCCATGTTAATTAAAGTAAGAGTGCCAATAAGAAGCTAGGCTATAAACATTGGTCGAATTTCATGAGTTGATCTCATTCTTAGGGCCTGTTTGATAACTGGAAGCAAGTTCATGAGTTGTAAATTGGAAGTTCTTAAGTTATGTAAACTTAAGAAGCTCCTGGTTTCTGTGTTTGATAACCTCCTGGAAAGTTAATACGTTTCTGGTTTCTCTATTTGATAACCTCCTGGGAAGTTAAGAAGTTCCTAATTTCTGTATTTGATAACCTCCTTGGAAGTTAAAGAAGAATTGAGTATATGTATTGGATTAGAGAAAAGACTAGTTTTCATCCAATTGGCAAAAGTTACATTTTTCATATGTCCACCGCTAACACCACATGATAACTCTGCATTTTGGTTTCCAATAACTAATACATGCTGAGGTTGCAATGATCATTGTTTCAACATGTTAATTTTTATTCATTTTTCTCCTAAAAAGAATTTTCATTCATTTTGTACAATCAGTCAGAAAACAAATATATGCACTACTTTTCCATAATTGGAAAAATTATTCATAGAAATCCTATTATTCTCTATCACCATAGCAAAACAAACCACAGTTCCGAGAATGAATCGAAAAACTCAATATTCAAACACACATGCACAATACAAGCAGTAAGAAATCAGCCCATTCAAGAATAACCCGTAATAACTTGAGCACTACTTACATTCAGTACTGATGCGTCCGTATCCCAGCCTAAAATATATACGTCTTTCACAATTCAAAAATATACGTCATTCACAAGTCATGCACAGAACATTTGTGTGCTCTCTCTCTCTCTCTCATTAAGATTATAATGGCAGACAATATTTGTATGTTATCTGTTAAGGCATTTGTGATGAATGTCAAGCAACATTCACAATTCATACATCCATAAAGAAAACCATGTACAAAACCAACCCATTCAATAATAACCTGTAATAATTTAAGGGAAAAGTTTATATAGAGCCGAGGCTCTAAACAATCAAATTTAAGCCTACTTAAATACATTCATTAGAAGAGGTTGCTTTAATGCCCAAATATCCTCAAATTGATCATCTCGACATCAAGATGCATGGACATTAGAAAAAAAATAGATTTAAAATTTTGGAAATAGTATTATTTTGTAACGCATTTTTGGACCATCAGTTTTCAAGTTTTTTAAAGCTTTCATAGATCTATCTATCTACACTATTTTTTAATCTTTAAACTTTATAAATAACTATGAAAATATATTTTAAGGCTATCACAAAGACTTTCAGGATTGAAACCACATTTCTTGATACTATTTGAAGGTAGGCTCTAATTTGATTGTTTAAAGCCTAGGCTCCATATAAACCTCACCCATAGTTTAAACATATATAATTGAAAATGCAATAAAATGAAGACAACATTCGACTAGGACTCAATATTTGTGGCCACAGAATAAGGTCCATATAAAACGTAGAATAGGGTTTAATTACAAGTGCTAGCGAATTAGGTAGGCCTCCCACAATTGCGTCGCCATGGCATCTCGCAAATTGACGCCAACTTCATGATCAGCGTGCCCCTGAGTCAATTGCGAAAAACCATCATCTTCGTCAATTACGAGTTGACTCTCAACCCTCATTCGAAAACGCATCTCTCTTCCGCTATCGGCTTCCCGTGTTATCATGATGTATTTGTGCAATATTGCACATGCAATAACTACATCAACCTATGTTCGTAAAGGATATTGCATTTGATTCTTGAGCATAGGAAATCTGGCCTTCCAAAGTCCAAACGTCATCTTCACCACATTCTAAGTGTGGAATGCCGCTTGTTGAATAACTCCTTGTGAATCTGAGGAGCTCATGGACCTGAAGTAAATTCGTTTAGATAGTAACAAACTCTTCTATATGGTCCTATGAAACTGCGCATAGTAGGATATCCACCATCTACAAGGTAATATTTTCTTGTACCATGTTTGTGCAATAAGTATATTGTAAGGCCAAATATTACACTAGAAATATTGTACAAACCGAAGCAACGAAACATAGGAAGGAACGGAATTACCCTCAAGCACTACAAGCTTACTGCCTTCATTACTAATTGCGTCAAATAGGACTTTAGAATCTGATATGGATCCTTCCCAACCTGCAAATACATAATGAAAGCGCATATCGAAACCAACCGCAGCCATAACATTCTGTCTTAGAAAACCTTTTCTGTTTCAGAAACGATTATGCAATCGACTACGAACTCGAGCAGGGACATGAGTCCCGTCAATAGCTTTGACACAATTCTATTAAGAGAAAAAAATCATACTATTATATATTAGATCTCAGTGGATGTGAGAACAACAATGTGGATTACTTGACACTCACATACCTTGAAATATGGGTAAAATTGTAGTGTATCACCAGCAATGTGGGTTGGTATTTCATTGCTTGTTGGTTGCAGGAACAAGGGTTCCAATTGTACGATGGCTTGTAAAACTCTATGGAAGTAGTAACTTATGGTTTGCCCTGAATGTTGGAACCATTCTTGGACCACCCTATTTCGCTGATCGTGTGTGACAATGCTTAAAAATATGGCTATTTGCTCATCAACTGCCAAATATCTTGTATCTGTAATGTTTGTCTTCTCGTTTAACAAATTGCATAGACTGA